CATACGGGGCAGGGGGTACGCATTAGCTATGGACACTTTGTTCAGTTTGCAGAAGTCCATACAGAAGCGCAGACTCCCGTCAGGCTTTTTCACCAACACAATCGGAGCGCCCCACGGGCTTGTGGACGGGGAAATAACATCCACGGCTAACATATCGTTAACCGCGAGGCGTACGTGCTCCTTTTCAGCCGGGCTCAACCGATATGGGTTTTGCCGAATTGGAGGAGAGACACCCGTATCAATGTGGTGGTTCAGAAGGGTCGTGCGACCAAGATCAAATTTACCCCGGCTGAAAATATCCCTGAATTCAAGCAACAATGCATGCAACGCGGACCTCTGAGCCCCAGACAGGTCCCGATTCTCGAAGCAAAGCGCATCCGCCGACCCATCATCATCGCAACTCCCCCAATCATATCACCATGGACCGACGCGGCAGACATGTGAGTGAGTACTGTACCTGCTTGAATAACAGATGCGGCCGGCCCCACATTCAGCACTTGAATAAAGGGCTGCCGATTCCTCGAAACCAGTGTCTGGGCCCCCACAAGTGACATCCCGTGACCTGCTTTATTTGACGGTCCCAACACAATTCCCCCAGCAGTGGCAACCTGATCAAGCGGCCTGCGCAGCCGCAGAGGGACGAGCATTTGTGCCCCCGGGGTAATTGTGACCGTGTCGGTCACAAGCACCTGAACAGACGCGTTAGCACTGCGCATTATAGTAGGCAGCGACAAAAACGCGATACGCCTTCCCAAGGGCAACTCCAAGCAACCTCGGTCCGTTAAAATTTTGAGGGGCATCTTCCAAAGGACGTCCGTCCCCAACAAGCACGGCACCACCAGGGATGCGGAAACCAACATGGGCCCTTCCAATTTAATGTCCGCAATGGCCACCTCTGCCGAAATTTGGCCCAATATTCCCAATGGTCCCCCATTAGCGGCGAAATACGGAACAGTAATGGGGTGCAACATACGGCAATTCCGCAGCAAAATATTAAATATCAGTTCAGAAATCATGGTGGCAGAAGCCCCCGTATCAATAAGAATTCACACCTCAACACCCTGTATGGTGCCGACGACCGTGGATGAACCAGCGGTCGCGGCGACAACGTGATGGGCTAACTGCGACCACTGGTCAGGCTCGAGTGGCCAACCCTCTCCCAAAGCAAGAAATTTCCTATGCGATGCAACGCAACGAGGACAAGCAACGACAGTACGCGGATGCACGTGATAATGAGATGGGTGAGGTGGGAACGAGGGCCGAGTGTGTGGTGCACCGCGACTCGCCTGGGGGCCCCTCGTAGTCGACGTCGGCTGGGAAGACGACGATGGCGGTCCAAAATGTCCCTGACGAGCAGCGCGGCACCCCGGGGCGACGTGTCCCGGCAGACCGCAGTTGTAGCAGACGGCGCGGCTGGAGCCCTGGTAAGGGAAGGCTCCTTGAGGGCGGCCGCGGCCTCCCCCGCTCGCCATGTCACGCCTCCGTCCAGCACCGCCGTCGACCGCAGCACAAAATGGGGCAGGCTCGTCCTCTTTCAACTCTTCGCTTCTGCTCGCGGGCGCAGCACATGTCACCAGCCCCGTACGTCTCTTCAACCCAAGGTGAGTCTGTATGCAGCGTGTGATTACCAGGGATGACGGATCATCCTCCTCTGAGGCAGGAAGAGTAACATTCAACTCTTTCGCCAACCCCAACAGTCTTTCCAAGACCAATGAATCAATGCCCGCCGGCTCCATCTTTGGAAACGCCGCCTGCGGCAGGGACAGCAGAGCGCTTCTGAAAGCGAGGGGCGTCTCGGTTTCCCCCCGCTGACGCTCAGCAAATCTGTTGCGCACACTGGATGGCAGGTCGTGGACTGCAGCCATCTCCTTGAACGCTTGTTGCAGCGTGGACCGCTGCGCTGGCGGGATGGCGTAAAATGCACCCAACGTGTCGTTGTTGAGAGAGGTGGGGAGCGCTTTCAAAGCTTCTTCCTCCGTCCACCCCACAAGAGTGCAGCTCGTGGAGAAGCGGTGTTTGAACGCCTCACAATCCCCGCCAACCGCAGTGAACTCCCGCACAAATGGGAACCGGCGATGCAGTGCAGGGAAATCCCACGGCGCAGCTGGCAAGTGAGGGGAAATGGCGCCTCCCTGCTGTGCGTTCCCGCCAAAATGGATGCTGCGCATTCGGACGGCGCGGCGGGAGAATAATGTGCTCGGACGGTGGCGGCAACGATGTCGACGCCACGTGGCTCTGGGGCGATCTTCTCCGACGACGGCTCCCCGCCGTCTAGCTTGGCGACCAACTCGGCCGCAGCGCCCAGCAGCTCTGCGAGGTGGGCGCTGGCCGTTTGGCAAGTCTCGGGTGGCGGTGGGTCCACTGCCTGAGTCGCGTAGCACTGCTTTGCTGGCAGCGGAATCTCAGCGGGACCATCTGGGGCTGCCATCCCCAGGGATGTCGGTGGGATGGAGTGTCCGTCGTCCTCTTCGTCCAAAGAGTGTCTGGTAGGTTGCTTTCGATGTGTGAGCATTCTGCCTCACACTAGGTAAATATAACCTAAATTGGTCACTTCTGGCACCAAATGTAATGTGTTCGATTGAGGCGCACACTCTTCTGTGGAGGCAACACTATTTATTAACACTTGTTACACACACTATACATAGGGTTGTGACCACCGACCTACTCTCATTAACACACGGGTATTATAGCTGGCGTGGCCAAGCTACGTGGACCTTGGCCCCGACCTCTTCGTCTTCAGTCTTCATAAGGCATCTTCATCCCGGGCGTGAACAGCCTCGCTCTCTCAGCGGCGCCCGCTTACATGCCTTTCCAGCGTGGCCGGCCACACCCCAACCACGCCCCCCTTCTCGACCCCCGACCACGTGACCCCCAGAGTCCCCCCTGGACCCTGGCCCCCACCTTGATCCGGTCACGTGTCTGGCCGGAGTCACCCAGAGTGCCACGGCCTGCCACGATCTCCATGGCACACGTCAACAGCCTCCGCACTGCCCGACCCGGCAGTGACGTCGTGTGCGCACAGACCTGACATGGTAGTGACGTCATGTGTGTGCAGACCCGACATAGTAGTGACGTCACTACAGTAGTAACTACTAACTCTATTGTAGTTTCTTCTGATTATAGTGTTATCTACTGACTCTATAGCAGTATCTACTGACTCTATAGTAGTGTAATGACAGTAGAGTCAACTTACAGTGTGAGTGGACTAGTGGCCATGGGAGATAATGACAAGGGAGCCAACTTGCAGTACGGATGGACTGGTGGCTACGGGCATGATTGGGAATAGGAGCGTGGCCAGGTGACGGAAGAAGACGGTAGAGTCTGCTGGTAGAGCGAGCGGTCTAGACCCAGCGAGAAGGTTCGGGAATGGGGGCGTGGCTTCGGACCGTATATAAGGGAGATGCGCGGGAGACTCGGGGCTGCTGAATTTGGGGTCTCCGCCTGTTCAAGCGAACGTGTCTTCAATAAAAGAAATCAACTCAAGAAAGTGTGCCAAGTCGTCATTACAGTAGTATCTACTGACTCTATAGTAGTATCTACTGACTATTGTAGTATCTACTGACTCTTTAGTAATATCTACTGACTCTATAGTAGTATCTACTGACTCTATAGTAGTATTTTTCGATTTAAAGCTTTCGTGACTGCAGTAGTAACTGCACACATTGGGGAGGGAAGAATAGGATATCACACTGTTCAGGATTTACCTGAGTGTGTGGTTGTGTTAGCAGTAGAGAAGCTAGCAGAAAGTATAGCTAGCAGTGGAGAAGCTAGCAGAGTATATAGCGGAAGACTAGCAGTGGAGAAGCTAGCAGAGTATATAGCGGAAGGCTAGCAGTGGAGAAGCTAGCAGAGTATATAGCGGAAGGCTAGCAGTGGAGGAGCTAGCAGAATATCTCGTGGTAGGTTACCAGTCGGGAAGCTAGCAGAAGATATAGTGAGAGGCTAGCAGTGGAGAAGCTATCAGTGTATAGTAATAGGCTAGCAGTGGAGAGGCTAGCAGAGTGTACGGTGGGAAGCTATCAGAGTGTGTAGTGGTAGGCCAGCAGCAGAGAGTGCGAAACGAGCGGAGCGTGGCAGGCAGGCTGGCAGTGGAGAGGCTAGGAGAGTGAGAGAGAGAACAGGCTAGCAGTGGAGAGGCTAGATGAGTGAGAGAGAACAGGCTAGCAGTGGAGAGGCTAGGAGAGTGAGAGAACAGGCTAGCAGTAGAGAAGCTAGGAAAGTGAGAGAGAGCAGGCTAGCAGTGGAGAGGCTAGAAGAGTGAGAGAGAGAACAGGCTAGCAGTGGAGAGGCTGAGAGAGAGAGAGCGGAGTGATCAAAGCGAGCAGAGCAGCAGGTGAGCAGCGCAAGCAGGAGAGTTGCGATGGAGTTACGGGGTGTCAAACGCGAGGAGTTCAGTTAAATAGAAAGTGACAGGAGAAAAAGATGTTGTCCACGTGAAATAAAAACACTACACATGAGTTGAGCCCCGCGTGCCTGAAGCCATAAGTATAAAGGCAATGCAAGACACAAATAGCTCAGGGTGGCTGTATTTATTTGACTACGACTGCACATTCCTGTAGATATTGTGCAAATCAAAACAGCCATGCCTTCCATACAGTTAATACCCCTGAAAATAGATATCAATCAACCATAAAAGCCCTGAAAATCCTCCCAGTACAGCAGCACATTAAATGTAAGGGTGATGAGCCCCAGAAATCCTGCGGGCTTCTCAAATCGGAATTTGTTGAATGTGCATTGCATTGCTAATGTGTGTTACATTGTTTATTACTCATATTTTTGATGATGGATCACAGAGCAAAGATCAAACATGACAAATTAAATGGGATTGTGGCCACAGCAGGGGAAAAATAAGCAATTATTTTAGCATCTTGTTGTAAAAACATGGCAGGAAATTATGTAACGTGAATAGAATAGACAATACCTAAAATCGTACGTTAATTATTTCTAGTATAATATATACTTTAACTGTATGTGTGTACAATTAATGCAATTAAATTCACCTTCAATACTGTTGAGGTGGATTATGCCAGTATCATCTTCAGTCTCAAGTTTAACATTTTGCACCTTCACTCCTGGCCCTGGCATACTCTCCAAATATAGCCACACCTCACTCTCGTCAACATGTTCAGGCAGGTTTTCAATCAGCACACAATTTGTCATTGGAAGTTGCTGAGCTTTGATACGTTCTTTGTTGAATTCTCTTTCCCCACAGCACTCTATAAAGCTTTCTATATCTGGAATAAAAACAAAATAATATACATTCGGAATACAATAATGCACATTTTTGTTTTTAGGAAAATTATGAAAAACAATATTTTATAACTTAAGAAGATGGCTCGAAATGCTTATTTTAGTATTCGGAATTGATGTAAATATGGTCTGAAGGATAAAAATATACTTGTAGTCTCAAGTTTGCCGATGATATATCAACAGACTTATTACGAGTGTAGCACATGGAGCTTTACACTAGCTCAAGTGAAGACTCGAAAACAACAATACTTCAAACAGATTTTAATCAGGAAGTCTCTTCAACTGACCCACCTATCCAACCTCGAACAACATAAAACATGTATTCTGAAACTCACTATATTGAATAGTCCAAGAGGACTTTTACCACAACTCTATCAGCAGTGTGCCTTCGCTCGTGATACAACACAGCTCATACATGTGTAGACGAGTAGTCGATGACGGGATGTCACTCTGGGAGAGAGAGTGTATGACGTCATGACGCGGGGATATAAGGGGGTACCCGTGACGTAAGGGGGGTCGTCGAGAGGGGCCAGGATCGAAGGGAGTTGAGAGAGTCGGGACCCGGGGTAGGGAGAATTAGTACCAGGCTAGGGGGGCTACTTCACCCGGCCTACCGAGTTGGATGACCCCTCGGTCGGTGCCGAGGGAAGAGCACGAATAGCCTGGGAGGCGCTAGGGACCTCCCAGTACCCTTTCCCCTGGGGAGAGATTCTAAGTTGCCAACTGTTAGGCGTAAGCCCTTATAAGTTCCCGGCATTAGCCCATACTAAAGAACTGCGTCTGCGTCGTCTGTTGCACCTCAACACATGCAGTATTTATGACATCATGTGATATGCATGGCATGCTGGGAGGACCCAGCTTATGGACACAATAGCACTGTTTACTGTCTAGAAATCACCTTTCCGTATAATAATGACTCTTATCTGTTTTCAGCCTGCGTGGACTTTACCGTCTGATTAGGGTGGTGCGGTGGTGTAGTGGTTTGTGTATTGCATTGCATTATAAACCAGTCCCTTGAGCTTGAGTCTGGAAGACAGCTATAGTCAGCAGTGAGTGATATCTGAACCAATCTTGGGCCACTCCAAACCCACACAGAGCAGCATGGTGAAGCATGGGTCAAATAAGCCTTTTGGATTAGCCTTGAAGCTCGTATCATGTATGTGTGTCTATTTTTGTAGGGAGCAGTGGTGCAGTGGCCATAAACTGTTCTACGAACTTGACAAGTCGCATGGTGCCTGTTCTGAACTTCCCATGGGTCTACTTATTCTGAAAGTGTTTAACCCTCAGCCCCTATTTTCCATCTTGAGTGGCGCGGCTGCATGTTGTGTTTATCCTGCATGGAAACTATTGTTCAATCTTTCTATATTTGAAGTTTTCGTGACTGTAAGGAACCAAACTCTTTGGTTCTTTCAGTAAAGTCACGTAGGTGAATTCTTTTTTTAAATCACGACGTTTCGATTGCAATACAAGCAATCATCATCAGGTGTGACAGCCACAACAAGAAAATGTTTTATTGCTCAATCTACCTAGATATTCTACATCGTCCACCAACCTAAAAAGGGTCATCACAGACTCAGAACACCCTCACACTGATTTTGGGGCCATCTGATCAGCTATATTGTTTTTTGATTCCTCATTCACCTCTATACAAAATTACGTAGTAGCCACTACTGAGAATTTTTGGACTGTTCTAGCTGATCTAATCAAACACTGTCTCTCTTAAAATCAGAATCCAAATGTTGTACATGGTACCATTTAAACAAAGTCAATACGCACCACCAACACAATGAAAATCGAAATATAACAGTGGCTTCCTAGAAGGAAATGCAACATCCTCATGGTTGTTCATTTAGGTACATTGAAGGGGTGGTGGGGTGGTTGAGACCATTTATTAAAACTAAACAATTTTTTTATTTTACCAGATAAGGCCCACTGAGCTATGTATCTCTTTTTCAGAAGTGGCCTGGCCACAAATTATAGCTCAATGAAGTGGCTTATGTGGACATTTATAGCAGCCAAATACTTTGAAAGCACGTTGATTCTAAATGTGGAGGGCAAAACCGGACATACTGGAGAAAAATCCACGCAACCACGAGGCGAGAAACAGTGCAAACTACAAATATACAGGAGGCATCAGGGTCAGGTTCGAACCCCCAACCTCCTGTATACCAGGCGAGGGAGTTAACATCTTGTCACCGCGGCGCCCCTTTACATTTAGGGAGAGAATATTTAGTTTGTTGAGGATAAAGTGTGAGATACGGATCAGTGTTGGGTAGAAACATCGTTGAAAAAAAACGGGCTGAATGTCTCACTAGCACATCCACCATTGCGGTGATTCTCCTACATTGACATGCTAATCTCTCACAATACAATGGCCACCTCCACAGCCTCAGGGCGCCCTCCGATCGTACATTTACATGCAAATACCATATCTAGCCCCGCCCACTTACCCTTGGGCTACACACAATACAATGGCCACCTCCACAGCTTTGGTGGCGCCCTAAAGGCTAATCTCTCACAATAAAAAGGCCACTGCCCCAGCCATTGACATTCTAATCTCTCACAATACAAAGGCCACTGCCCCAGCCTCTACGGTTGGACCATCTCTAGCTCCACCCACCTACCTTGATGCACCCATCTCAGGCCTATATAAGACCTTGTCTCAGCAGCTTTCTCTCTCTCTCACCTGAAGACGATTGCTTGTGTTGCGATCAAAACGTCGTGATATTTTAAATTATTTTTTGTTCTACGTGGCTTTACCGAAAGACCCATAGAATATGTATTCCTGCAGTCACGAAATCTTGAAGTCAAAATTTTACCGTGATGCACGCCAGTCGGAAATTGTTAATAAGGGAGACTCAACTATTGAAAAAGAGTGCTTGGCATTAGTTGTGTGGGGGGGGGGGGGGTGCACAAGTTTCGGATGTTCCAATATGGCAGCGAGTTCATATTGGAAACCAATCACAAGCCCTTAATTTTCCTGAATAGATCACAAATTGAAAATGTTCGAGTGATCAGATGGGAATTGTCATTGCAACCCTATCGGTACAGCTTACGCAGTATTAAAGTTACTGACAATATTGGTGCCGATTACCTGAGTAGATGTCAGTAGTAGCTGCCCAGGACAAGCTGGGGTGTGGTCTCTCTTTCACACTCACGGGAGATGAAGTCAAACTAAATGTTGCCTCTCCTGAGAAAGGAGGCAATGTGATGAGGTCAAAGTTGAGGATCACACCCCTGGTGTGTCGGTAATAACTGGTGGGACCGGTTGTATGAGAATGGGTGTGGGGAAGCCCAATTATGTTAATTTAAATTCTATAAAAGCGAGGAAGGAAGCCAAGCGCAGGAGACACCGGCCAGAGGGCCTGGCCCACTGCTGGAGTGTGGACCAACGACGCCTAGTGTAGCAAGAAGGCCTAATCTACCGCTGGAGTGTGGAGGAACCACACCGAGTGTGGTAAGAGGGCCTGATCCACTGCTGGAGTGGGAAGGAACCACACTGAGTGGGCTAGGAGGGCCTGATTCACTGTTGGAAAGTGGAGGAACCATACCGAGTGGAGCAAGAGAGCCTGATCTACTGTGGGAGTGTGGAGGAATTACACCGAGTGGGGCAAGAGGGCCTTATCCACTGCTGGAGAGTGGAGCAATAACGACCAGGGCTGTGATAACCTCAAGCAGTGCAGCCCCAGAAGTTGAGTGTTGTACCTGGGACTGAGTGTGCTGTTCTGAGAGGTGTGGGTCCAGTCTGTTGGAGTGGGGTAGGGGCGATACGCCACACCCAGAGCCACGAGGAGGGCTCTATTTAACTGTTGGAGTGTGGAAAGACCACTTCTATAGCTGGGTGAGCGATGTCGACTGTCGGAGTGTGGGGACTTGCCACGCTGAGAACAACTCTGCATCAATAGCTACACGGGCCTCTTCAGCTTCTATGGATAGGGTTACTATTTATAATCGTTATAACATTGTAACGGGTTCCGGAGACACTTGTAGAGGTAACTTCTTTATTACAATACAACACTCAACAGTCCAACGCTCCAACAGTCCTGATACTCTGCTACAGCTTAGGTACACAGCCTAGCTACACAGCCTAGATACTCTACTCTGGCTACGCTCCGGAACTCGCCCTCACAAGGTCGTAGCGTCGGGAGTTCCAGAGTCCCAGCGCTGGCTCTCGCAGCATCCCAGGGTCTTCAGATGGCTGGTCGTGGGTCTTGGGTCTTGAGTTACAACTGGCCCCGATCGTCCAGGGAGCTCCGCTTATATGCCCAGTCCCCAACGAGGGGTGGGGCCGTGTGCGCCACCAGACATTCCACAGAGCACACACAGCCCCCCCCGTTGGCGGCGCCCAGAGGCTTAAGCGTCTGGACCCCCTGGGAACCCAGCGCCTGGCGCCCAGGGGATTACGCGTCTGGACCCACCTGGGAACCCAGAGCCTACAGCAGCCCCTCCCTTCTTATGTCACTACATTACCCCCCTCTATGTAGCCTCCAGCCGTCCCGGCTGTCAATAATTAGAAAGTTTAAATTAACGAAAGGGAGAGAGAGAAGAAAAAAAATACGCGAGCTTCAACAGGAAAAGAAAAGAGAACAAGAAAGCAACCATAAATACCATAACCAACCTGTACAACTCTACACTATATACAAGCATCAATCAACAAAAAGGTGAAGCAATGACACGTGAACAAACGACCCGCGGCACACCTATCCCTCCTCGGGATCCGCATAGAAAACGGGGAATTAACAACAAATATACAGATTCCGACGCGTTGGATGCACAACCAACACCGGTAATCGAACCGAAATCACACAACCACTGCATAGATGGCAGGGATCCACACCACTCTGCCAGCCTCCCATCCGTCAGGTGGAGAGAAGGCGAAGACCAACATGTCGAGCATCCCTCTACACACACTTATCCGGACGTCTTGCTACGTCCCGGGTCGAGAAGTCGTACTTCAGGGCCGACCCATGTACTGGGCAAAGAA